CATTGTATAGTGCAGCTTGTCCTTTTAGTGTCACTCTGGCCCCTTTTAAATGCCTGTAATAATGTAACTGCCCTGGTGTGGCATATGGTTTTGCAGTGCATATGGTTTTGCTTTTAATCTGTGAGTGAATTTATTTTACTGTGAAAAGTGAAAAGCTGCAGACAGACAACCCTATCACCTGGAGACCCCAGCCCTCTATTTAGCCACAGAGCAGGTTCTGAAAGGGGAGCCAGGCCTGTAACATGAGGACCTCGGAGCAGCCCCTTCTAGAGGGAAGAAGGGAATTCGTATTTCATTCCGATTTCATCTTAGACCAAGAAAGTTAATGAGGGCACCAGTCAGTGCTGAATGTGGGGATGACAACTGTCCGCTGGGACCTGCGTTGAGCCTGCCACCTTGTGCCATCAAACAGCCACAAGATGGGAGCAGTTTTTAGCCACTGCTTTCCTGGGCTGGACTTAAACTGGTGTCTCTGAGGTAGTAAGATCAGCATGGCATTACCAGTCCTACAAGCCACGCACTCTCCCTGAGAGCCATCAGCCTGAGGCTTAGCATTGGTTTGTAGGCTACAGTATGATTTAAGGTTTTACTGCAGGTGACTTTTCCAGGGTTTCTCTGTGTTTCTCTTCATTGCGGAGACTCAACGTCCTCAGAGAAGTTTCCCATTAACCTTTCTTTCTTTTCTTGTCTTCTAAAAAACAGAGCAGCACTGACTGTCCGCAGGTTGTACCTGTGCCGCTAGAACCAATGCCCACGGGGACGTCTCAAGACATTACAATCTCGCTGGCTAATGCTGTTTTCTCCAAGGTAACTGAGTTTTTAGGCAGAGCCAAAAGGTTCAGTTGAGCTCACCAGGTGATTCTGTGCCCCCATGTACCAAGAAGTCCAAGAGCCAGATTAAGGGATGCTTCTGAGGAGGTGCCATCCTTTGTCCCTGCATGAAGTGACTTACCATTTCCACCTGACGTTAGCCTCTGACATAGCTGTACTAGCAGGGGACGCTCAAGGAAAGTCACCACCCAGGTGGCAGTGGGGCTTAAATCAAAAAAACAAAGGGAAAATGCAGCTTGTATACAGAAGCTCTCTAGGGATCCATTACAGTTAATGTCAGACCTTTCACGGTATGTGCACAATATGTGGATTTATGCACATTGTAAACTATCCACTAGAACAAAATGTTTGGGGGAAATAAAATTCACACGTTCCTGGTGGATATTTTTTCCACCTTCCATCCTGCGAGCATGCAGGTGTTGGTGCTCCCAAGGGGCTGACAAAGCTATGCACAAGGTCGTCTCTGAGGCCCTGCTTCTGGAAAAGAAACACTGTTGGAAGTGAAAGCTAATGTGGAGACTGAGTGAAGTCCAGATATATGGGCAGAGTCTCCTGTGCTCACCAAGCTCTGTGTTAGAATTCATCACAGAAATAGGTGTAGTTTTTTAAGTGTCCTTCTCTCTGAAAACTTCTGGGCTATATAGGGAAACTGGTTCTAGTAGCTAGAAAATGAAGCATCCTGGGATGTGTTTAATGAGCTAGGAAGTACCAGACGAATTCATATAAGGGTTGGGAAAGTATTTTAATAAATGCTAGCACTCATGAGAAGCTGCCATTTGTCATTTGAGGTCAGGTTTTCAAGCAACCCTGTGTAATTGTGGGCCTGATTTGCCCGGGCAGTTAACCACAAAACCACAAATGAGATACTCACACATGCAAATAGCCAGGTAGCTTGACTTTTTTTTTCTTTTTTTTTTTTTACTTAAGTAATGAATTGAGCTTGGGAAAATCTTCAGATGTAAGGAGCTTGATTGTTCTGGGAACAACAGAAAGCAGGGTCAGGGTGTAACACAGCAATATTAATAAGGTTTCCATAATATCTTGTACTGTTTGTTGCCCAGCAAAGGGAATGATGTGCTGTGAGCTGGTTGCTGTTTC